CATACCCATATGATTGTGGGAAAGTGATTTTAACTCTGTGCCTCTGCTGCTTCATCCATAAAATGGGTGGAATACTGACGGCTGGGTGTGCATATTAATTGGGTTGACACCTGCAAACAGCTCAGAGCAGAGACTGGAGTGTGCTGCAAGCTTTCACAAAGCTTCTACGAGGATTGGTTTCTGGGTTCAGAGAGTTACTATTTGTAGGGTATCCCATCGGAATTCTCCCAATATTAGCACTGCACTTCTGTGTCTCTGAAGGAACGTGAATGTGCACGCTGGCTGGTGCACCCATAGTTTCAAGTGCAAAGCATCCCATAGTGTTTCCCGACGGAGGGACATGGGCCACTGATAATGTATTAGGCTGTTTTCACGCTGCTGATAAAGACATACCCGAGACTGGGTAATTCATAAAGAAAAAGAGATTTAATGGACTCATAGTTCCACGTGGCTCACAATCATGGTGGAAGGCGAAAGGCACGTCTTACATGATGGCAGACGAGGAGATGAGAATCAAGCGAAAGGGGAAACCCTTTGTAAAAGCATCAGGTCTCATGAGACTTATTCACTACCAGGAGAACAGTATGGGGGACACCACCCCCATGATTCAGTGATCTCCCACCAGGTCCCTCCCACAACATGTGGGAATTGCGGGAGCTACAATTCAAGATGAGATTTGGGTGGGGACACAGCCAAACCCTATCGGATAAACAACATAGTTGGAGGATTACTCTGATTTGGGGTGGTTCAGGGACTGATTCAACGGCTAGAGCTTGTCTCCTTTTCAGCTGTCTCAGCCTCCAGTTACCTCCAGCAGAAAGTCTCAGATGGTGCTAATGTGCTTTGACTCCTTTCAACACCTGCTAATCTCACTTTAAAAGAGAGAGTGAGCACGGGGGCACGCGAAGCCTGGGACGCTATTTGAATCAAGTTCCACTGGTTCAGCTTTCTTTGACTTTCATTTGTACAATTAGCTCTACAGGGAAGCGATGTCCACTTTCCATGTATCTTTGGATAGGAAGTTTTCTTTTCCCAAAACATGTGTTTGTATTTTTATTTTGAAATGAGGCCATTTAAAGAAGCACATTAAGCAAATAATCACTGAAGGGCTCTGCAGATTCAGCAGAAATCAGGGCCGTGGTCTTTGAATGGAAAGAGTTGGGAAATCTGAGTTTCGTGATGAGAAGCCCACACTGAACGGTGAGGGAGGGCAGAATTCTCATCCCATCCCTGCCATCTTCTCTCTGGGTGGCCTTAGGACAGTCATGAAGCCTCAGTTTTCTCTGGAGCTAATAATAGTACTTGCAGGAGGGAGCCTTGGTGGAGGTTGAAGGAGATGCCACAGAGTGCCCAAAGCAGGACAACTGCAGTGGTAGGATCAATCTAATAATGGTTTACACTGTGGATTATGTATTCCAGTCAGTACCATGGCCAGGCTCTAGTCCCAGCACACTATATCAACACATTTAATCCTGCACACCCATTTCATAGAGGAGAAAACTGAGGCACAAAGGTGCTAAGTTACTAGCTCAGGGTCTTTCAGCAAGTAACTCCAAAGTCCATGTCCTTAACTCTCACACCAAGTGGCACAAAGCAGGTGCCCAGCAAACAGTCGCCGAAGTGGCTCTGGCTGTCATGAGGTGTATGTTTCTGCAGATGAGAGATTGAGAAGGAAGCTGTTGTTCGCCCTCTGGTCCCGTGAAACTCACAGTTCTCATGTCAGACAACTGCACTGAGTGTGTCCCCAGCTCCCCTGAAATTGTGACTCTCTCTCAGAGCCATTGGGAAGGAGGCATTGAGCGGAGCCTGCTCCCTGCTTCCAGGGGAGGTGCTAGAAGGGAGACATGCTGTCCTGGCCAGCCTGACACAGGATACAGGTCCCTGAATGAAGTAAATTAGGATGCGCATCGGGGCAGCTGGGAGAGTTGATTGAAAGCACTATTTTCAGAGGCAGGTGGGCGAAGGGAGCAAAGAAATGATGCTGCACCCAGGAACTGGTAGCAAAAGGAGCCCTTACTTTCCCTAGACTTGATGGGGCAAGAGGAGGGAGAGGTGAACTCAGAACTGGGGAGACAGTAGAGCCGGGAGGTGTCCCCAGCAGGCTAGGAGCTACTGCGTGCGGGAGGGAGAATAAATACACTGACTTCCTACACCTCCCATGCTGCAGCCTCCCAGCCGGAAGCCAGAGAGCAGGGATGTGCCAACCGCACCATTGATAGAGCTCAGCCTCCCAGGGTCCCAAGCAGAGTTGAGGGAGAAATGGAGCAGGAGGGACCCTTGCTGGGATTTTTCAACCATAGCACTGCCCAGAGAACACAGTGGCCAGCTCCTCGTTGGTGTTCATAGAGGGTGGCTGGGGCAAGGCATCACTGATGGACACCTCTGAGCCATGTAGACCCAAGGTATGGCATGGGCCTGCCAAGTCCAGCGTCCCTCACTCTGCAGAACTCAAAGGACCTTAACAGAACCTCCATTCCTTTATTTACCTAAGTATTTGTTTGTGCCAAGGCCTGGAGACAGCCATGAATAACATAAGCCTGTCTCTGTCCTCAGGGAGCTGACCCCCTAGTGGGGAAGAATTGGACAATGAATAAGAAATTGCAGGCCGTAGTAGTGATTACAAGAGAAATAAAACCGGTTATAAAATGCAGAGTGCCTGGGTTGGGGGCCCCGCTTTAAATGGGGTGGTCAGGGCAGGCCTCTCTGAGGTGATGACGTTTGCTCTTTTGACAGAAAGAGCCAGGAGTACAAAGCAGGAGCTTTTGTTGTTGTTGTTGTTGTTGTTGTTTTCGAGACAGAGTCTCACTCCGTCACCCAGGCTGGAGTGCAATGACATGATCTCGGCTCACTGCAACCTCCATCTCCCAGGTTCAAACGATTCTCCTGCCTCAGCCTCCTAAGTAGCTGGGATTACAGGCGTGTGCCACCATGCCCAGCTAATTTGTGTATTTTTAGTAGAGATGGGGTTTCACCACATTGGTCAGGCTGGTCTTGAACTCCTGACCTCAGGTGATCCACCCACCTCGGCCTCCTAAAGTGCTGGAATTACAGGCGTGAGCCACCGCGCCCAGCCGCAGGAGTTATTTTTTAAAAGAGCAGGTGCAAAGACCCTGGGGCAGAGAGCAGTTTGATTTGTCCATTCAGCAGAAAGAAGCCAGTGGGGCTAGAAAGGAGAGGTCGGGGAGAAGTGGGCAGGGGCCAGAGCTCACGGGCCCAGGCAGCCCTGTCGAGAAGTTTGCATTTTATCCTGTGAGCCATGAGCAGCCAGGGAAGGTGCGACAGGTGAGCACAGGACTGGCACTAAGGCGAGGTGAGTGCCTGGCACTTGTACAGCCTGGGAGTGAGCACCCCCTTCAGTCTCCACCTGCACGAGGCACGGTGCCCTCCCCTGCCCAGTGCTGGGATCTGATCTGTGTTTTAGGAAGATGCCTCCGGCTGCCCTGGGAAGAACGGAGGATGGGGGCAGGGAAGAGGGAGGCAGGAGACCCCTCAGGCCGCCTTGCAGTCCCCAGGAGAGGTGAAGCAGGCAGCACATCCCCCTGCCGAAACCGGAGCCCTTTCTGAGCCTCTGAGTCATGACTTTGAGCTGATGGCCGGGGTTCCTCCACGGAGGGCAAGGACAAACAGACCCTTTCAAGGTCACAGCGATACAGCTGCCCCCATGGCGTTTGGCTTCCTCCCGGCGCATCTGCAGGCTGTGGCTGTCTCACTTGCACTCTCGTTTTAAATAAATGATACCAGAAGTCTATATCTGGATAGGACTTGAAGGCTCATTTCCTCAAGAAGTGAAAAAATGACCGCAGAGAGCAAAGAGCAGGGCGAGATTAGAGACCTGCTCGAGCCAGAGCCGTGTCCCCACCTCCCTGCAACCACCTTTGCTGGTGACCTAGTCTGACCTGGGGCTGGGGGGTGACTGAAGGCACAGTGGCCCGTGGCAGGTCGTTCCCCTCCACATGTTAGCGCTCAATTTTCTCTATTGTCATTTCGTTTATTCTGCAACTTAGGCTGGGCATAGTGGCTCCCACCTATAACCCCAGCACTTTGAGAAGCCAAGACGGGGATCACCTGAGTTCAGGAGTTCAAGACCAGCCCGGCCAACATGGTGAAATTCCATCTCTACTAAAAATACAAAAAATTAGCCGGGCGTGGTGCGGGCGCCTGTAACCTCAGCTTCTGCAGAGGCTGAGGAGGAGACTCGCTTGAACCCGGGAGGCAGAGGTCGCAGTGAGCCGAGATTGCGCCATTGCACTCCAGCCTGAGTGACGAGCAAAACTGGGGAAAAAACAAAACAAAAAACTAATAGGAATACCTTTTTACCCAATTACAAGATCCCTTAACAAGGGGCTTTCAGGCACATCCCCAGCAGACTGAAATCTTACAATGGCCCTGTCTACCCATTTTATTCATGGGGAAACCGAGGTTCCAAACGGACTTGCTCACGGAAAAAGTGAGCCAGTGAGTGGAAGATCTGGCACTCAAACATGCCAGTTGTCCAGCCCAAAACGTCCAGCTCCAGGCTCTCGTTTAAAGCCCTGATTGAATCCCCCACTGATGGGGAACTGCAACTTCATCTCCCTCACCTCCGTACCCCACGGTGTGGGCAGATACAAGAGGACGCAAATAGTCACTCCCTGAGACCAGCCCGCTGCTGCTCCTCTCCCTGGGGATGATTTGGTGGTGGAATTGGGTGGATTATTCAGAGACAGCTATTATCTGACTCGGGTCTTGGGCTGCCACCAACACATCAGAGGCTCACTGGGTCCAGGGAAGAAATTGTTTCTGCAGAAGTGGCCACAGAAGGCTTTTCTGCCCGTTTGTTGACCAAGCAAATTGTAAAGACTTTGCTAACTTCAGCGGAGTTGAGTTTTCACTCTGCCATAGCCACCCCTGTTCAAAGAAACTCCCATTGTTCATGCCAGCCACCGTACAAATCATTATGCAAGAATGAGCAGCCGGCAGCCTTGACGTAAATATTGACCTGATTCTTCCTCCTCCTCTAGATCTGCGAGTAAAGAGGGACGAGGGAAAAGAAACAAAGCCACAGACGACGCAACTTCAGACTCCTGCATACCAAAAGAAGCACCAGATCAGCCAAAACAGAAGATGGGTCCCCCGAGCCTCGTGCTGTGCTTGCTGTCCGCAACGGTGTTCTCCCTGCTGGGCGGAAGCTCGGCCTTCCTGTCGCACCACCGCCTGAAAGGCAGGTTTCAGAGGGACCGCAGGAACATCCGCCCCAACATCATCCTGGTGCTGACGGACGACCAGGACGTGGAGCTGGGTAAGCCTCAGGGCCCCAGGGTGGCACCTCGGCCTCTTGGCGCAGGGTCCCTGGGTTAGGCTGAGGCTCCTGAGGCGAGGTGGTGGTGTTGATTCGTAGTGGTCATTTTTGAGTTCGTTGAAACCAAGACATGGCACCCACACGTGTTTGGGGTCACAACTGGGTCCTCAAGGTTAGGGGTCTCTACCCTCCTCCAGTTGCAGAACCATTCCTGAATTTCTCCAAAGAGTTAAAGAGAACAGGCTGGGTGCGGTGGCTCACGCCCGTAATCCCAGCACTTTGGGAGGCCGAGGCGGGTAGATCACCGGAAGTCAGGAGTTTGAGACCAGCCTGGCCAACGTGGTGAAACCCCGTCTTTACTAAAACTACAGAAATGAGCCGGGCATGGTGGCACACGCCTGTAACCCCAGCTACTGAGGAGACTGAGGCACAAGAATCTCTAGAATCCGGGAGAAAGAGGTTGTGGTGAGTGGAGATCACTCCACGACACTCCAGCCTGGGTGACAGTGTGAGACTCTGTCTCAAAAAAAAAAAAAAAAAAAAAAGGATGAAACATGAGCCTGGAACCAGATTTTGGAGGCTCTTGTGGGTTGTGGCAAAGACTGCCAATCATTGATCCCATGAAAGGTGGTCCCTCGGCCTCCATCCATTCTCAAAGGATAACAGCACGTTGTTGGTGGCAACAAATGTAAAGGTTGACTAGGTTAGCCTTGACAACCTGAATTTGTCTTTTGGCTACCAGCAAAAGGTAATTTACATAAAACCAAGTTGTTCCTTGCAATGCTTTGTATTAATGATCACAAGTATAGACTTTTTCCTCCGGGAGCTTCTCAGTGCAAGAAGAATTTGTAGCCAGGAAGCAGTCAGAGCCCAGAGCTTTTATTGACCATATGACACATAGGATACCTATCTCCTGGCAGCATTTAGAATGAGGTAGATTTGATAACTATGGGGAGTCTGCAGACTGTGGCCAGAAAGGTGTGTTTTGTTTCTTGCAGAATTTTGCAGAGAGGTCTGGCAGGCAGCACCTGGACCTCAGAGCTTCTTGATCTGACGTTGTGTAGCCCCCACACTGTTTCGGTTGTAGTCATGCCTAGAATTTCCGATGCCCTGCACGTTCGTTCATTCATCCAGCAGATGTTTATTACGCATTTGTTCCATTCAGTGCACTGTGTCAGGAGCCAGAGAACTGGGGGAGGCTCATTCCAGGTGGGGAGAACAGGAAATTCAAAGATACTGAGATAGAAATGAGCTCGGTGGTTTGGAGCCAAAAACAAAAAGTGCCAGGGAGCCGGAGTGGAGGGAGTGGGGCCATGATGGAGAGAGATGAGGCTGAGGAGCCAACTTGGCCCGGGTCGCACCAGGCCTTGTGGCCATGGTGGAGGCTTTGAGTTTGATTCTTGGTAAAATAGACATGGATGAGGGGGCCTTAAGAAGAGGAAGGCAAGGCCGGGCGCGGTGGCTCAAGCCTGTAATCCCAGCACTTTGGGAGGCCGAGACGGGCGGATCACGAGGTCAAGAGATCGAGACCATCCTGGCTAACATGGTGAAACCCTGTCTCTACTAAAAAAAAAAATACAAAAAACTAGCCGGGTGAGGTGGCGGGCACCTGTAGTCCCAGCTACTCGGGAGGCTGAGGCAGGAGAATGGCGTAAACCCAGGAGGCGGAGCTTGCAGTGAGCTGAGATCCGGCCACTGCACTCCAGCCTGGGCGACAGAGTGAGACTCCGTCTCAAAAAAAAAGAAGAGGAAGGCCGTGACCTCAGTTAGGTTCCAACAGGATCCCCCCAGCTCTTTTGATGAAATTAAATTGCAGGGGTAAGGGCAGAAACAGGACACCCATTCAGAGGCCAATGTCGTGATAGGGCAGTGATGATGGAAGCTCAGACCTGGGCGCGGAGACCCGATCCCACCTGATGTATGTTTGGGAAATAAACAAATCAATGGGTTAGGTATGCGGGTTAAGGAAAAGAGACATTTCAAGGGCAACTCCTAGTTTGGGGCCCGAATCAACAGGTGAGTGACTGAATACCCACTCTTAGGAACAACACATTTTTGCAACATGATCCAGCTAAGTCTCATGTCTGAATCTCACTGAATTTTGCCTGTGACTTGTGAATAAAACCAGCAGTGTATCCAGATAAAAAGAAACCAACTGCATATGCAGATGTAAGGAAACCAACAGTGTATGCACATACAAGGAAAGGAGCCACGGATATGAAGTAGACACAGGAGCAAGGAGAACAAAGAAAGCCGCGGCTGACTTAAAATACAGAGATTTCTTCTCTCCATTTGACAGATGGAAAAACTGAGGCAGAGATAAGCCACTTGTCCAAGTTTGCACAGCTGGAATGTGATTAAACATGATTTGAGCTGGGTACAGTGGCTCACATCCCAGCACTTTGCGAGCCTGAGGAGGTAGGATCACTTAAGGCCAGGAGTTCGAGACCAGCCTGGGCAACATAGTAAGACCCCATCTTAACAAAAAATATAAAAATCAGCCAAGGATGGTGGCACATACCTGTAGTAGCAGCTAGTGGGAGGCTGAGGTGAAGGGATCACTTGAGCTCAAGAGGTCAAGGCTGCAGTGAGCCTAGGTCACACCACTTCTCTAGCTTGGGCAATAGAACAAAACCCCATCTCAGAAAAAAAGAGAAAAACAAGATTTGAACCCAGAACACGTGATCTTAGCCACTGCTCTGTTTAGTCAGATTCCTGGGGTGGATATTGAGTTGTTTTCAGATTGGTAGTGTGTGCGTTTGTTAGTTTTTCACTGTTACAGATATTGTTGCTGGAAATTTTAACAGGCATCTTTGCGCAGGCAAGGGAGTGCTTCTGAAGGATAAATTCTAGGAGGTGGATGCCGTGGGTTTAGAGCCCCTGGTGTTCAGTGGCCTGTGTCAGCTCTTGCCCAATAGCATTACACAGCATAGATCAGGGCCTGCAAGTCTTGCCCTCTGCAAACAAGCCAGACCTCTTCTACCAGCAGCATTGGGTTTCGAAGGAGACTGAGCCTCCTTCAGGAGGTGAGGGATGGGAAGGTGGTTGTGGGAGGAGCATGATGGGCTTTTTATAAACCACTAGACAGACCCAGATCAATAATGCATGTCCCAAAAAAGCCCAATACATTATCTCACAGTCTGCTACAACTGGCATGCAGCGGGTGGTCCTAAAAAATTTATCATTTGCTATTTTCTACTCATCCGTGCAGCAGTTCTGACAGCCCTCTGGACTGGAGACTTCTCAACTGAGATAATTCCAGGATTCTTTCCAGTCCCAGGACAGAGAACAGACGTCCATCCTCATTAGGGTCCTGTTGGGAGGACTGGTGCCAGATACACAAGATGAGGGACTTGTTCTGTTTCCTAATTGCAAGGCTCGGGGGTCGGAACTGTACCACGTATATTCGATTTTCCTTTCCCTGCACGCATTTGATTCCCTGAGCTGTCTTTTGAAATTGTCAAATGCCCAGGGGAACTGCTTCCAGGGCCATACTAGTTTGTAAGTGGCCTAAATTATCATTACATGTTTAGAGTAGTTGGGGACATCCCTGTGTCTCGGTGACCCTCAGAGACCAGCGGACTTCTGCTGGCCTTCCGCTCCAAAAGAATAAGAGGGAAGCACGTGGAGGTGAAGGTCTCGTTTGCAGACGTCCTTTGTTCAGGGAGGCTGTAGAATCTGTGGGCTCTGCCAGGGTTTACTGGTTTAATTTGATCTAAACCTCTGGGGAGCCGCGGGGGCTCTGACAGGCTCTGAGACACCAAGAGGATTAAGACATGATTCTGGCCTGGAGCAAGAGAATTTTTGCAGCATCCCAGTTCTGATGTATGACTTGAGAATTTCTTTAACTGGACTTATTTTTGATGCTTAAATATTATTTTAAAAGAAACCTCCAAATTCTGACTGTAAAGGAAAAACGCAATACACATTGCGTTCGGTAAAGGATCACTGCAAAACCAAACACAGTGAAAACCAAGTAGTGTTTTTAAATGTCAGCAAGATGCTGCCTCCCACAAAGCCGGTGTGGCTCTGCTGTAATGAGGGCGATGGGCAGTTTCAGAAGCAGTGTTAAAGGTGAAGTAGCACCTGCCAGACTTTCTTCTTGACCTGATCAGCAGGATAGAGGCTAGAAAAGAGAAGAACTTTCTCAAGATTTTGATGTGAGAGCCCCACTTACATGGGCACCACTTGGTGGTGGCCCTTGTGTCAGAGGGTTAAGGATACAGCCAGACTCCAAACCCCAGAATATCAGGGTGGATTCCCTAGTGCTCATTTTCCTGAGTGTTCACACCAGGCAGAGATGGTTGCCTTTTAGGGGCCCCTCAGATGGTCAGATTTGAAGTGTGCCCCGCGAGACTACATGCAGTGTTTGCATTTCTTTTTTTGTGTTTTGTTTTTTTTTTCTTTTGGAGACAGAGTCTCACTCTGTCACCCAGGCTGGAGTACAGTGGCGCGATCTCGGCTCACTGCAACCTCCGCCTCCTGGGTTCACGTGATTCTCCTGCCTCAGCCTCCCAAGTAGCTAGAATTACAGGTGCCTGCTACCATGCCCAGCTAATTTTTGTATTTTTAGTAGAGACGGGGTTTCGCCATGTTGGCCAGGTTGGCCTCGAACTCCTGACATCAGGCAATCCGCCGTCTTGGCCTCCCAAGATGCTGGGATCACAGGTGTGAGCTACCACGCCTGGCCTGATGTTTGCATTTCAAAAGAATTCTTTGCCTTTCAGAACATCTTTATTTGTTTATATTTTTTGAGACAAGGTTTCGCTCTGTCACCCAGGCTGGAATGCAGTGGCGTGATCACTGCTTACTGCAGCCTCAACCTCCCGAGCTTAAGCAATCCTCTTACCTCAGCCCCCGAAGTAGCTGGGACTACAGGTGCACACCATCACATCACACCCAGCTAATTTTGGGAGTTTTTTTTTTTTTTTTTCTCTTTTTTTTAGAGATGGGCTTTTGCCATGTTGCTCAGGCTGGTTGCAAACTCGTGAGCTCAAGCA